GGGAAAGAAAATACTTATACTACCATTTTATATGCAGAAAATCATTCTTGAGGCTCAAATTTCATAGAAAGGGTAATGGACAAAATATTTGAAAATGGATTCATAGAAACCACTTATACAACAAAGTATCATACTTCCACTTTCACTATAACTAGTATGATGACCAAGCATTGGTTTTACTTCACTTCAACCCTATGATGAAAAGATGGGACTTTTAACTTTCTTTTTAACAGCTGAGATCGTTTCTTTTCATTATCTAGTGGCTGAAAATTGAGTTACATGATACCAAGTTCTCACAGCCATTGATCCTAAACAATCGACAGAGAAAGCAAGAACCGAAATATAGCAATCAAATAAACACCCAAAATTTTGCAGAAAACTTCAAATTTCAGTCAAGCGACAACAAAGGACAAAAGTGAGCAAAAGGGTAGTTTTTGTTTTTGCTGGGTACCTGTTGAGAAGAATGTTGAGGAGGTGGCGGGAAAAGGTGGTCTTTCCGCTGTTTTTGGCGCCGCATATGAAAGCAATGGGCGGCGGGGAAGTGCGGGAGTCGTAGGCTATGGAGTCGGCGGCGTCCGACCACTCTTCTGGTATGTAAATGTCCGGCGATGGATTCTCCTGTTCTTCTATGAAAGCCATGGCTTCTCTCTCTCTCTAGATTTCGTTTGGTTTGGGTGCTCTGAGCTTCTTCTATGTTTCTGTGTATATATGTGTTGCGGCCTGGTGTGGCTGGGGAACATAACATAACACACATAATTTGTGTGATTTTTTTTTTTTTTGGCTTTGGCTTTTTAGCGTGATAACAAGGGCACGTTTAGGTCCTGAATTATTATTATTTTTTTTCATTTTTTATAAGGGACATATTTACGGCTGGTTAATTAAAGAAATTTATATGACTAGCAAAAAACCAAAAAAAAAATAAAAAAAAAATATAAATTATATGGTACAAAATATTCTAAAGTTCAATGAGAACCAATGTTCATTAATTTTTTAACGGTTTGGCGTGTGAATATAAATGTTTAAAATTTTATGGTATGCAATGCTTACTGCTCTTATTTTTATCAAGCACTTAAAAATTAGTCAACGGATAAAATAATTGTAATTACTACTAGTAAAAAAAGACAGCTCATGCTGAAAAAAATGTATAAAATTGATTTTAGTTTCCCTTAAGAAAAACTTAAATGCATGAGTGCGTCGTAATAATGCAATATATATATATATATATATTGCAATATTCATAACGGGGAAGGTTTTTTTCTTATTAATAGGTATTATTATTTTATTGTTAAATTATTTTTTTAAAGGTTAAATAAGAGAATCGGCATTGCGTTCTTTAAATTTTTAATATAAATACTTGCAGATTTGGGTGTTAAAAACTTCTATTAGTATAATAAAAAAGCCTTTCTTATCATGATATATATATATATATAAATATATTTCCACAAGTTCCACATTGGCGGGAATTGAGGAAGGTAAGTGGCTTATAATTTTCACGAGTTCTCTTCCTGTCAGCAATTGCTTGGAAGTTGCATAGTGGGGGTTCACTTATAGATCTATTATGTTTTCCTCTTTCTGAAGGTGATCGATCTATATTTTTTGTGTCTCCGTTTGTGTGGATGCTAAAGAAATCCAAATTTTCCAATAATATCTAGGGAGAAAGAGGGAAATAAGTTAAAATTTAAGATGAATTAAAATTAATAAGACAATAGTTTATATAAATTAATAAATAGCTAAAGAAATCCAAATTTTCCAATAATATCTAGGGAGAAAGAGGGAAATAGGTTAAAATTTAAGATGAATTAAAATTAATAAGACAATAGTTTATATAAATTAATAAATAAGTTAAATTATTATTTTCGTTTATAATTTGTCTGGTTATGAATCATAACTTAATAAGTTATTGTCCATAAATCACGATTTTTATCCATAACTTGTCTGGCTATGAACCATAATTTGATAAATTTATCCATAACTCATCTGGTTATGAATCATAACTTGACAAGTTATGACCTATTAATTTTTATAACTAAAAATTGACCTATATATTTCTTTAAACTTTTTATATTAACATATTTTCTACTATTTTCGTAATATCTATAAGTTCGGGCATTCGTTACACATATAAGGGTAGAGATTTGCTCTAAAGTATCCATGAGATTTCTATGCTTTGCGTACAAATCCGTAAAATATCAATATTCCATTTTTCACAATTTTACGCGAATATTCAAATACGTTGATATTTCTACGAACCCCCTACCATTTTAATTCCGTAAATGATGTATCTCCTAAATAGAGGAAACAACATAAATTGTATTCTGAAAGTTTCGTGTCGCGTAGAGGAAAACGACGCATAGTTTGTATTTTGAAGTTGAAGATCGTCTATGAGCAAAAGGATTTGAGGAAAGAAAAAAAGAAAAAGATTATAAGATCTTATAAGAATTGCAATACTTTGTCCTTTTAAGTTTTTCTTATTTATAAGTAGAATGATGTTTTAAATGACGTTTGTTGTCTGATTTAGAATTATAATTTTTAGTTCTGTTATAATATTTTTCTCTCATAAAAAATTAAATTTCAAAAATTATAATTTTAAACCTATACTGTGGAATCTAACCCGGTTTTGGAAACCGATATTGGTTCGAGATTCTAGAATCCAACTGCAGTCTTGTTTTTTTATTATAGGAGACGTTTGGTGATGGGATTCATACCATGATTTGAATCATAATTCATGATTTGATACAATATTTTCTCTCATAAAAAATACATATAAATTAAAAATGGTTATAATCTTATGATTATAATTCATTAACTAAACGTCTACATAGTCTCCAAATTCGATCCCTAATTGTGACCATTGAACCCGACCCATGTCTTTCTTTTTTTTTTTTAAATGCTAATCTGCAACTTTGTTCTTGACCTTGACTACATAACCCGATCCCGTTTTGGGTATTCAGTACGAGGCTAAAATCGAGTGAGGTTTAGGTGAAGACCTAAAATTTATCACTTTAAAAATTCGATACTTAATACGATACAACATAATAGGTTGGTAAACAAATATAATGTAACATACCATAATATTTAATAAATACATATCAAAACATTGTATATTGTATAAAAATTAGAGAAATACCTTTTCAAAAAAAAAAAAAAAAAAATAAAAAAAAAACCTTTTAAAAAAAAAAAAAAAAAAATAAAAAAAAAACCTTTTAAAAAAAAAAAAAAAAAAATAAAAAAAAAACCTTTTAAAAAAAAAAAAAAAAAAATAAAAAAAAAACCTTTTAAAAAAAAAAAAAAAAAAATAAAAAAAAAACCTTTTAAAAAAAAAAAAAAAAAAATAAAAAAAAAACCTTTTAAAAAAAAAAAAAAAAAAATAAAAAAAAAACCTTTTAAAAAAAAAAAAAAAAAAATAAAAAAAAAACCTTTTAAAAAAAAAAAAAAAAAAAGAAATACAATACAACGTAATCAGATTTATCACATTTTAACCATGTGATTTACCCCTTTTAATCTCTGCATAACCGGGTTACTGCCCAACTTGTTCCCGTAGCCGTCAGATGGAACATCTTCAAATCCAAATTCATTCAATTATTTCATCCAACGGTCTAGAGCTTTCTTTCCTTTCTTTTTTTTTTCTTTTTTTTTTTTTCCTTTTTCAACCCCACACTTTCCCTAACAATAGTAAATTGCAGTCACGTAAATAAAAAGCTCTGAAACTTTGCAGGTCTCTCCACTGCGTCGGAACAGAGTTTTTATCGTGTTTTTGGAAACTCAGAGCTGTCATTTCCCGCTTCCCTCTGTACTGATTAGACCTTTCTGTTGGAATCTGAAAGTTTATTATATGACTTTAATGAATAATTCAACAACAAAAGAAATTTTACTTCTTTTAGATTATTCTTATTATTATTATTATTATTCTCACATAAAGCGTTAAAGCTGCTGATTCATTTCTTTCACCCGCAGTCTCTCACCTTCACTAGCTACTTTTTTCTCTTTCATTTTCTCTCTTCACTTTCTGGGAAAATCCTTGTTTCGTGCTCAATGGGTGAGAGTTCTGAGAAGAAAAAATCCATGGATGGAGAAAAGGAAGTTCCATGCGTCAAGATCCATGTCAAACACCAGGTCTTCCACTTCTCCACTCCCTTTGCTTTCAATTTCCACTTAATATTGGTTTACCTTTAAGAAGTTGGAAGAACTTTGTGTCGTTTATATATATATATATATATATACATATATATGTATACACACATTTTCAACCTCAAACGTTTCAGCTGATTTTTTCCTTTTTTCTTTGTTTATTATTTTTATTAATCGGGTTCCAAATTTTGTCTATTTTTACTTTATGATCTTTATTAATATATGCATATATATATATATAAATTATAAATAGGATAAGCCTTCGGTTTTCTTCAAAGTAAGAACGAGCCAACGGTTATTCAAGGTGTTGTCTCTTTACTGTGAGCGTCATAACCTCGATTACAAGACCATGCGCTTCGTCTTCGATGGTGCCCGTGTTCTTCCAACCCACACCCCAAGTTCGGTGAGTTTTTCCTTTCTCATATTTCTATCTTTTTTTCTCTCTCTAAGTTTAGGCTCTTTTAGTTCGTATATTCAAATTAAAATGTGATTTTATATTAAAAAAAAATTTATTGTAATAAAAAAATTAAATGTAACTATCTTTTAGAGTTTTTTACGATAATAAAATTTGAATTTTAAACTCAAAAATGCACGGGTGCTTAATATCATTGTTATTAATAATTTTTTGATTGTTAATTTGTGTTTTGAGTTCCAAAGAATTCCAATTTCTGAAGATTATTATTGTTTTTGGACTTTATTTTCCTGTTGTGCAAATTGTTTTTGGACTTCTTACCAAATGAAAGAAAAGGGGTTTTCCTTGGTGTAAAATTAATTAATATCTGTGAAAATTACATTACATGGCAAATTTTTGATAGTGAAATTGAAATACAGCAAATATTGTTCCGAAATATTTTAGTAAAAATTATGTAGCAATTATTTTAACGTGTTTATTTTAAGTACATGTTTTGCTATTTTAAAAGTAATAAGTGGACGTTTAGTTCACGGATTCAAAATTATTCTTGATTTACGTGTATTTTTTGTGAGAGAAAATATTGTAGCGAATCATGAACCATGCCATGAATTCTCGTACCAAACACCCCTCTTAAATTTTTTACTGTATTAACATATGACTTGTAAAATTTCGATGTAAGTCTAAAAAGCCCCCGCCTAAATAGTATGATAGAGATGAGATTAAGTTTATAGCAATTTAAGGGTTTTTTTACAACGAAATTCGAAAAAAGTTTGAACTCGAGTTATAACTTTATTCAAATTCATATCTATTTTAAAAATGTCATAATTTTTTCGTTTTAATTATGATTGAGATGATTTTTTTCTATGCATTTATATGAAAAGACGAATAAAATCTCACCCATATACCCTATTAAAATTTTTCATTACCATTGAGTTTTTATTAAAATATTATATAAATATAAAATTAAGTTTTGACCCACTTAAACACAAACTCAAAATCATCACTCAAGTCACCCTAATCTTTTTACATTTGGAAAATATTTGTTAATTATTGTGGTTCCCTTAAGTGTATATATATTTGTCACGTTAGACGATACTAAACAACAAATGTGTAGCATATATAGTGTTCATATTATTGTTGTTTTTTTTTTGTTTTATAATTTTTATTTGGTAAATCTGATTAAAATTGTTGTTGCCTTCAATGTGTAGCTTCATATGAGAGATGGGGACCAAATTGACGTCTTGGGTAACGCTGATGGTGGTGGTGGAGGAACATTTTGAGGACTGATCATATGAATCTTGAAAAAATTATTAACTATCTTTTTATTATAAGTAGTTTATATTATCATGCAAGTTTTTGTGTTTGTTTTACGTGTTTTCTACACCTAATGAGCAGTCACATTAGACAGTGAAAATTTGTGTCTAATGTGGGATGCTTATTGCGTGGAGACAACATTGATATAATACATGCACAGAATTTAAGTTAGCTACAATATAAGCGACATTGAAAATTACAGTTTTTTTTTTTTTTTTTTGACAATTCACTTATAGGTTTAAGTATTTGGAAATCCTAATAGTACTTTTATCTTAAGTGAAAACATGTTGAAGGACTAGTTTGGATGGATGTTGAAGGACATGAGTGCATTCATCAAATCCTAAAAGAATATAAAAAGAAAAATAATGAAATAAAAAATAAAAGTAAAATAATAAGAATGTGGATCATTAGTTTCTTTTATGAGAACAATCCAATTCACCTTTTTAGCGTTTAACTTATAATTAAACATGGATTTTTATCAATGTAATTATTTAATTATCTTTTTACTTAATTGAATAATCATTAGCTTAAAACATTGAACTTATTAAGGGTTATATAAGTAAATGTGGCATTCATTGTGTTTTTTTTAAGCTTTAAATGTTATTTGTATACTTTTCTCCATTCCCACTACATTTCTTCTTATTTTAATTTTTATCAAAAGCTTTTCTAAGTCCCAAAGATTTGTGTTACAACAACAATTAATATATTGAGGCATATATAAACTTTTTTATGGATTAGATTTTTACAAAAACTATTGGGAATTATAAATATAACTTTAGAAATTTTCTTTTATTATTAATTTTAAGTGAAATTGCAAATAAGTATTTAGGTTTAATTTTCTTTTTAGAACTTTATTTTTTTAAAATTGATTGAATACTTCTACTAGACTTAAAAAAGAATACCAAATTCCTAAAAAAAAATACTTTTTTTTTTTTTTAGAAAAACTAAACCTTTAAAATTAACATATATGTATCAAAACACACCTGGTAGATCAAGGTAATGTGTAATACTAATTGCTGCATGAGAACCACACCTGGTAGATCAAGGTACACATTAGTGCAACGTGAGTTTTTTATTTTCTTTTTGTCAGGTATGTTGAAAGAATTAATCAATCTTATTTAGTGTCTAAAACTAAAACATATCATAAAAATCAAGATTCATGAGTTACTTATCGGAAGCATTGCGTGGTCATAAAACCGCCGAAATCTCACCGTGGAACGGGCTTGAGAGTAATGAACTCTTTACTCTAGGAACCTCTCCACATACCCATCACAGACAAAAAATGACCACACATTCTTTAGCACCCACTCACATGTAAATAGTTGTACACAACCCTTTAAACTATATAAGCTTAAGTTAAGTGGGCCTATTGGACTTCACAAATTGTAATAGAGAAGTTTTTCAGCTAATGGGTTGACCAAAATACTTAAAGAAAAATGAGTATATAAGCCACAAGTTAGTTAATAAATTGAGTGTCCATCTCATTATGGATCAGTATTTGACATATATGCATAAACTAATTTACATTAACAAAGTTATCCATAATATGTTTTAGTTCACATTAGATTGAAATTAGGGAGAAAGAGGGAAATATGCCAAGACTTGAGATGAATTAAAATTAATAGGTCAATAGTTTACATAAGTTAATAAATAGGCCAAATTACTGTTTTTGTCCATAACTTGTCTGTTTATGAACCATAACTTGACAAGTTATTGTCCATAAATCACAATTTTTGTCCATAACTTGTCTGGCTATGAACCATAACTTGACAAATTTGTTCATAACTTATCTGGTTATGAACCATAACTTGACAAGTTATGGCCTATTAATTTCTATAACTAAAAGTTGGCCTATATACTTCCTTAAGCTTTTCATATTGGCATATTTTCTACTATTTCCATTGAAATTATGATTATAAAAGTCTACAAAAAAAATATTCCAATAAGGCATGGTATGATACGACATTATCTTTTACGGGCGTTTAGTATGCAGTAATCAGTAGGAATCAAATACCTAGAAATGTGATGGTGGGTAATATGATTCTCTAGAAATCTACATTATCATGCTTAGTTATGCGTATGAATCTTTTATTATATCTCTAAGAATGTTATTTTATGGTGTTTGGTTGTGCATAGTAATACAATGTAATTTTTCTTATAAAATTAATTCTAAATTGTTTTAAACTTAATTAAATTTTATTTAATTGAGTGATTATAATTTTCACCCTTAGTTTTAAAAAATATTATAAAGAATAAATATTAGAAATTTTAATAACTTTGGCACTAAATTTTAAAAATTATGAAAAAAAAACAAATAAACTTAAAAAAATAAACACCTGACGCCTCTTGCTCTTTCTCCAGGAGAAGTTTATTAAAAAAACAAAAACAAAAAACACGTTTCTCTCTCTCTCTCTCTCTCTCTCTTGATTTGGAAGAGGCTGGGTTTAATGGATCTGCAACAGTGGGGATGGAGACGAGGCAATCGCTACTGTAGATGAGGATGGGCGGCGATTCAAGGCTCTGGTTGGTGATTCGCGGCCTTCCGGCGAGGATAGGTGCAGATGAGCGCATTTAACAATGGGGTTGTGGAGTGGGGATAGGCAACACTGCAAGGCTCCGGTTGTGATGGGCTGCGACGGCGGTGGGATGTGATGATGATAGGCAGCAGCGACGACCTTGTTTTGCAACGATGGGTCTGTAGCGTTGGTGGTGGGGAAGGGGATGAGTTACTGGTCTGTTGGTGTTTCATTGATTTGATAATGTTGTTTTTTAATTAATTTTCATGATATCGAGATTCCCAGGAAAGTAAATAAGGGTTTAGGATTATTCTAAAATATAGTAATGTAAAATTTTTTTAAATTTTAAAAAAATTTAATAATTATATTAAATATGAGAATTTGAAAGATTCTCATTCTCACTCTCTTGAGATTAGGGCTGGCAATTTCAGACACGACACGAAAATGACACGAGATAACACGAAAATAAATGGGCTGGATTCGTGTCAGCCTATTTAACACGCTTAACCCGTTTAATTAAACGTGCCATTATCGGACCGACATGGCACGACCCGGACCGGCCCGTTTAATATCCCCAAATATATATATATATATATATATATTAGACAAAACCCTAATTCTAAGTGTCTAACTCCCTGTCCCTGCCCTGCCTCAGTTCTCTCTCTCATTCTCTCGAGTCTCATCTCACGGTCTCTCACTCGCCTCACCTGCCTCAGTCCTTAGTCCTCACCCGCTTCAGTCCTCACGGCCTCAGTCCTCACCGGCCTCAGTCCTCACTCCTCACCCGCCGTTTCAGGTTCAGCCTTTCACCATTGAGATTGATTTTGGGGGGCGAACGACCATTTGGATTTTGATTTTGGGCGGCGGACGGGATGGGGCTTTCTCCATCTCCATCTCCATGTACGTACTCTTCCTTCTTCTTCGCATTCAATTTCTTCTTCTGATTATTGTGATTATGAATTTTGGCATTTTTTCACCATTTGAATGCATGAGGCTTGAGCGATAAAGCCCTCAGGACTTTTCATTTTCTTGATTATTTTGATAATGGAAAGATGTAATGGGGCGATTAGATGTGATGTATGTGGGGTTCTTCGACAGAGCCAAATAACAATTGGGAGACGTACTACCTTTAAATTCTTGATTCATTGATGGTATACTTATAAGCTATATTTTTCTGAAATTTAAGATTGCGCCCTAAAATGTAGTAGATTTTACTATTAGTATGCGCATAATGTTGTTAGCGGTAATAGATAACTGTTGTAGATTTATGATTAGTGGCAATTAAACTCGCTTGCACCTATCCACGAGGTTCGTGCTTTATACCATCGCCAATAGGTTCTGTTTCTTGATTATTTTTTTCTTACTTCTACTTTTTTTTGATTATTTTTTTTTGGCTCAATTATGAATATCAAGACTTTTATTTTTTCCGGGTTTTTATGTTTTCCTGCTTCATAATCTTGTTGAGTTTCTTTTGCGGTTTAGAGGATTTAATCTTGTTTTCCTGCTTCAAGCTTTTTTCTTTTCTCCTGTGCATTTGATCTTTGGTTTGCAAAATGCGTTGTTATTGCCATACTATAAAGCAATTGAACTTTCTCACTACTCATTCATGTAGTTTGACATTAAAAAAAAAAAAAGCAAACAAAAACGACTTGTAGATGGATGATTTGCAAGATGGTGTTTATGACTTGCTTGGTTTAGAGTCATGAGAAGTAAATATGTAGCTTCAATTGTGAAATAACTTTATGTCTTTCTGCTTGTTTTTGCTAAGAAACAAGATGATCTTTATTTTTTTCTCCGACTTGTAGATGGATGATTTGCAAGATGGTGTTGGAGTAAATTTAGAGTCAGATAGCACTACCACATCCGCTGCTGCTACTGGTGATGCACCTATTGCATTGGAGTTGGAGGCGGATGTTGAGCCTGAAGCTAATTCCAAGAATCCGACCAACATTTTTAAACGTAAAAGGAAGCATACTTCTGTTGTCTGGAACCAATTTGAAAGGCTTACAATGGGTGCAGATCAGGAGCTAAAAGCCAAATGCAAAGAGTGTGGTGTGGTGTATATGGATAATAGTAAGAATGGGACTGGAAGCATGTGACGTCACATGTAATCATGTGTACATAGAGACACGCGTGACGTGGGCCAACTACTGATATCACAAGACAAAGGGACTTTAGCGTTGAGTGCAAAAAGGTTTGATGCTGAACACTTTCGTGAATTAATAACAACAGCAATCATTTTGTATGACCTTCCATTCTCCTTTGTTGAATATGAAGCTATTAGGGTGACTTACCAATATTTGCATCCTGAGATAACTTTGGTAACTAGAAATACTTTAAAGGCAGATGTCAAAAAAATGTCTTCTCAGGAAAAAGCAAGAATAAAATCTATGTTGGAGTTGAGCCCCGGTAGAATTTGTTTGACATCTGATTTGTGGACTTCCATAGTTACAAATGGATATTTGTCATTAACTGCCCATTTTATTGATAAAGATTGGGTATTGAAAAAGAGGC